CATGACAGATGCCATGACCACAGAATTGCAGCAGCCTTCAAGTGCTACCGCTCTGCCTACGGCTGTTGCCTCCACTGCCGCCCCTAGTTTATATGCAAGCATCACCGAAGAGATGACTACCATGACCGAGGAAGCCAGCACCACCTGGCAACCATCTGCTACCTCCGGCACTCCTGCCCTTCCTGAATCGTCCGATGCCAGCAGTACCGGCGCTGGTGCCGATCTAGGTACAATCTCCACTACTCCTCCAGGTAATGTATAAGTGTCGTGTCTCTTCAATGTCCTTAAATTTTTTTTCGTGTTTTTGCGTCGCGTTTTCTCACCCTTGACTCGTTATCTATCGACCTTAAGCTTTCATCTCGCTAGAATAACGCTTTTTTTGCCAGCGTAGCCCTGATGCGGTCTGTGACTAAGATGAGCGTTGACTCCGTAAATGGCCGTACATGCGCTATCACTCTGAGTTTAGTGAGCGTGAGTTCGGGACAGAAATTTTATGCCTTCCTGTTGAATTTCTACCTTCAGTAATATGTGGCAAGCCGCGGTTAGTAATATTTAAATCTTGTCTACATTTCCCTTCCCCCCCGCGCCCACCTAGAAACCGCATTTGATTCAAATCTGTTGCAGATGTTTCCTTTATAATACTTAGCGCTGGAGGAAAATGAAGTAATCCGTTTGCTCGGTAACCAGGGCAGTGAAGGCGCGAACCAGAAATAATAGAGACTCTGCAGCTTTTAGGGGATATCCAAATTGACAGAAATCACTTACAGAATTTGGTAATAGGCACAGATAAACCTGGTTGCTGTTCATTTCGCACCTGTTCAGTCCAAGTTGTGGTTAAAAATTAACGAACTGAGGACCTCGTCGATGAACGTTCACCTGACCGCTAAGAAGACTCATCTGTCCCGCTCTGCCTTGGGCCTCAACAGAGGCCCTGACAGCCGTAACATGTGGTAGTATAGGCAATAGGAGGTAGCGAGTTTGAGGCTCGGATGTGACACCGATTTTGTCTGGGTATGACTGGCTGACGATGGCTAGTATGCCAGAAATGGCCATTCCGGTCCCCGGCAATATTATCTACCTATACTAGAAGCTGTTACGGCTGTCATGGCTTCTGGCGAGACCCAAAGCAGAGCGGGACAGATTATTTCCGTTAGCAGTCTGGTAAACATTCATCAACGAGGGTCAGTATCCCCTGACATAAACCGTTGATACAACGAGCT